CAACAAACAAAACTCAACAAAATGAAAAGAAATCTCTTGACTGATAATGTTTTTGTACGTCTTTATAACATTAAAAAATAAAAACGAAAACATATGAATATATATATATATATATTTTTTTTTATATATATATATATTTATTTATTTATAAAGGAAATAATAATATAAAAAATTTATAATTAAATATATTAAATTAAATATATTAATTAATTAAATATATTTAATAATATTTATAATTCAATATAAAGATATAATTAAATATATATTACAAAATTCTTCTTTCGAACTTTTTATTATATAAATATTTATATATATATATATATATATATTCTATACGGTTTTTTTTTAATATACAATACCAAGGATATTTTATAAATTCAAACGATTGCATTTTTATCTTAAAATAAGATTAATATAATTATATAAACCTTTGTGTTTCAGACCTTATGACCTCTTCTATAAATAATTTATATTTAAATCGTTTGAAATTATAACTTATAGTTATTAAGAAAGCGTAATATTTTTTTTGTTTTGTTTTTAATGTTTTATCATACAGTATTATATTCATGGATGTGAAACTTGAGAATGAAAAATATAAAAAAAGAATTGTTATAAAGAAACAGTATGAAAGAACAAAAATAAAAAGAAAAAACAAACAAAAAACAAAAAATTACTTCAATTTGAATGATTTAGTGACTTAGATCAATGACTTGGATCATTGTTGAAAATAAACTGACTTTTATTTATACAAAACACATTATTACTCTTTTGAGGATAATAATAAATAAGTCACGAATTATCGTGCAAAATAGATTTTAATAATAAAGTTTTCATAATAATTAAGCCTCTGCACCTTTTTTTTTTATTCTACTTATATTTCCGCGAAAATTTTAACAAAATAATCGCCCGATTCTCGATAATTTTTTATTAATGCATATAGACATTCTCAAAAGTTCCTAGATGATTATTCTCTTTCAATTCTTTTTATTATTTGATATTTTATATTTTTGATACTCTTCTTATTATTTTCTTAGAATAATTTTTAAATAATTAAGAAAGAGAATAAATTTTTTTTATATGAATCTCTCTTTCTCTTTCTCTCTTAATCTCTCTTTTTCTCTTAATTTACATTATTTTAATCATATATATCAATTAGAATAATACTTTAGAATTGGAAAAAAGAAGAAGGAAATTGATTTTTTAATATATTTTTAATTAATTATAATTTTTAAAAATAATATACACAAAATTGTTCTCATTAAAAAGATCTTTTATAATTGTGATTTAAATAATTTTAAGAGAAAATATTTGTAATCCGTCATTTTTTATGGGTTTACTAGTTACAGTATTAATATATCTATAAAATAAAATATCGACAGAAGTATAGAGAGAGAGAGGGGGGGAGAGAGAGAAAGAGATAAACGATCGATATTAATTACTCGTATAATTTATAAAGTTAGTATCTACGATTAATTCTTCTTCTCCTCTGCTTTCAATACTCATAGTTTCTTGATCCTCTATCATCTTTTATAAAAAAATATTTCTTTTTGTATTTTTATTATTATTAATTTATTAATATTAAAAAAGTATCGATTGATCAATAATCTATACGTACCATCATCTTATATTTTTCTCTTTCAATCATTAATTCTAATTCGAATTCACGTTGCTTGTTCCTTTGTTCTTCAGAAATCTATGTATACATATATATATATGTCTATATTATTAGATATACATTTTATTTTACAAATATATTTAAATAATAAATCTTTTATATTGTTACTTATTTATATATAATAATTATTATAATATAAGATATATAATTATAATTTTGTAATTTTTGTTCATAAAATATAAATATATATCAAATATTACAAATTAAATCTATTAACCATTTAATTCATTTTATCAATTATTGTTATTATTATATATTTATTATATATATATAAATATTTAAATATTATTGATTATTAATTAATCATCATAAACGAACCTTTAAATGAAGTAACCAATGTCCAAGATATTCAATTGGATCATATGGTTTTTTCGAAGCAATTTCAGGAAGAGCTCGAGTTAAAGCTTTGCTTAATAAATTTTTTAAATAAAGACTATCAGATGACAAGTAATAGTCGGATGAAGTTGAAGAATACGATTTAATGGAACTCGTTGAATCATTTAATTCCATCTGATAAGTCGATTTCATATATTCTATCTCATCTTCGGTAATATGCAAACTTTTTAAAAGTCTAAAACAAAAAATCTTATTTAATATTAATAAATACATTGGATGACAAGTAGTCATTTATCGTTCAGGCCGTATGGTCAGAACGCTAACATTATTGCATTTATTCCATAGAACATGAGTTATTATATTTGTTTCTTTTTGTTGTTTTATAGTAATTATTTTTTTTTTATATTAAAGAATTAGTTCGTTCGAACATACAACCTGATATATTCGTCGGTGAATCCATTAGTTAATACAGATTTGATAAGACTAGTACTGAGTCCTTTTTCACGTAAATATTTTTCTATTGACTTTCTTTCTCCTTTTTTACTCTCTTCGATGCCTATTGTTTCTTTATAAATCCTTTGCCGCGTCTCATCGTTTTCGTATTGTTCTTCTTTCAGAACACCTCCAATAATATCTCTCGTTATTTGAGGATTATCCAACATTTGTTCATCTTTTTTTCCAATCTCACCATGAATTTTATCTTTTTTTATTTTGTCGATATCAACTTGATTCAGTTTTATACCAGTTTCTAAAGTCTTTTCAAGTTTCGTTCTCTATTGATGTATGTATAATAAATACAATAAGACTGGATCTGATCGAAACTTGAAAGTAATATAATATATACGGAAGTATACTACGTAAATCTTAGGTATATCATTGATACGTAATAGGAAAAGTGAGAAGTGACGTAAGACGATTAGAATAATTATTGAATTGAAAAACGTAGATTCTTTAACGTAGAAAGCAAATTTTATTATTTCTAAAACCACGTAACTGTTAGCTGGGGTTTCCCTCGTGTGTATTAGTGTGTTTTTTTTCTGTGCATACATACACACAATATATATATATATATATATATACGCATATATATATACATATATGTATATATATATATATGTATATATATATATGTATGTATATATATATAGTTTAGTTAATTCCTTTTATCACCAAATTTAATTGTTAATTCATTAATTATTAAGTATAAGTGTATTTAAAATATATCATTTTTTCGTTATGTATAAAATTAAATACAATAAAATAAACATATAATAATAATAATAATAATAATAATAATAATAATAATAATAATAATAATAATAAAAATTAATAAAATTAAATTATTATTAAAATGTTAAATATAAGATTTGTTAAGACATCAAATTGAAGAAATAAAATTAATAAATATTTTAATAATTAAAAATATACAAATATTATAATGTAAAGAATTGAAGAAATAATAAAATAATAAATAGCATTCTTTTAATATATAACAAAAAATTGGGTTATATAGATTATTTACATACTTACATCTTCACTATCAGATATTAAAGAAGAAATAGATGGCGATAATAAAAATTTTCGAAATTCTCGTTTGGTATAATTCCCGGAAATTTCAACCCGATCAGCCGTTTTTTGTAAAAGTACTTTTTCATGGTGTACATTTTTCTGCGGGTTTTTATTCTTATCCATCATCATTTAATCTACTTTATTTCATCACAGCTTCTTTTTCATGCCTAATTTCATTCAAAATGAGTTCGATTATCTCAATCGATTTTTAATGTAACCGAAAAAAAGACTTACAAATTTACAGAAAACTACCTTAGCGATTGATCCATTACTGATCGCGATAACGAAGATATGCTTTTTTCAATATTTATTTGTAAATAAAATAAAGAAATAAAGAATTAAATATTTTGTTTACATAAAAATAAAAACACCGTTGCATTAAAATAATTCATATGATAGAAAAATATAAATAAAAGTATGAAAGGATCAGAAATTTTTATCAAAGTCAAATTACTTTTATACGCTCAAAAATAAAAAGGATATTTCAAATTTACAAAAAACTACTTTATCAACTATATAAATGATTGATAGCTAAAAATAAAATACGATTTTATTTGTAAGTAAAATAAATAAAATAAATAAACAAAAACTGCGAGTACGATTATGTTTATTAATATTTTTCATTTAAATCATGCATTTTTAATGGAGGGGAAAAAGATACAAGAAATAAAAATTTTTATAAAAAATTGAGTTTTCTTTTTCTTACGCAAAATTCTTTTTTATTCTTTTCTTCTATTATTCCCATCCAATCCTCTCTCTTTCACTCTCTCCCTCTCTTTCTCTCTCTCTCTCTCTCCATCTATCTTCCTTTCTCTCTATTTCTCTCTTTAAGGAAAAAAGAGAGGAAATTCGCATTCATTGGGCGTGCGCGATAATGTTTCTGCGTGAGAAGAAAACTGGAATGCGCATCAATGAATGAAGGTATATATATTAACGATTGTCTAAGAAAACTCACGGTTAATCTTGAATCAAAGTTGAGAATTTTAGTTACGTTAATAATTTTTTATACGTAAATTTAATACTTGTGATTATCATTTATTCATGTGAAGGAGAGAAAAAGAGAGAGAGAAAGAGAGAAAGAGAGAAAGAAAGAGAAAGATTATAACTTCGGTGCAACGAACAAAATCAACTAATACATTTGTTCGTTTTCTCAAGATAAACAATAAGGTATATAAACAATTTTTTACATATCCTTTTATTTGCTTATGCTATCTTAATAACAGGTGGATTTCATTATTTTATCTAATCTACAGGAATGCCTAGTAAATGAGAGATATTTGTCAGTATTATTCACAACGTAATCCTTGACAGAATCTTTCCTTTTTTTTTACCATTCGTGATCATGCTAATTTACGAGATAAAAAGTATAAAAAAAAAGAAAAGAAATATATATATATATATATATATATTAATAATACTAAATATACATAACTAATTAATTTACCTTAAAGTGATTTATTTATTTTTATATTAATTTCATATTTTAAATTTTATATTTAATTTTCTCTTTGCATCAATAAAAAATTATTATTCTTTTTCTTATTCTTATTCTTCTTCTTATTGTTATTAACAGAATTTTGTAAAATACATACACTTAGTTATACAAATTTATTCTTTATTCCATTATGTTCTTTCTTTTCCCTCTTTTTCAGAAAAAATCACACAAATACTAATAATAATTTTTATATACATACAGTTATAAAAGTTTATTATCTATTAATAAATGTATTTTTTTTTTTTAGGAATCACAAGAACTACACGTGAACTTCAATTATTTCCACATAAACCTCAACGATCTCTTATTTGAAAAGTAGAAAGTATCTTGATATACATGGGGAAAAAGGTATGGTAACAATTTCTTATTACTTAATCTTACCAATGATACGTACATACGTACATATACACCATATATGATCATACGATATTTCTCTTATATAAAATATTATCTTTCTACTTGGCTAACGAATGTTATTGGTTAAAACGTCATTCGACACGATCAATGATCAACGAGTAATAACCGGTGACTGGGAGCTCTCTTGATGTCCTTTGTTCATGATAAAAACTCGTGATCAAGCTGACGTATAATGTATAGATAGATCGTTATATGCACATACATATATATATAGTGACGACTTCTACTTCATTAATGCGATATGTAGATTGAAGATTTTTGATACAGGATGAATCAAAAGTTCTTAGATAATTTTAAAAATCAATTAATCCCTTTTAACAGGCTTTTTGGCTGATCTTTTCTTTTGTTCTGATTATAGAAAAATTCCTAGTCTGGTTTTACAACTTGAAGAGAAATAAAAATAAAAAAAAAGAAAAGAAAATTACCCCAAAGAGACTCGTATAAGTATAATTGATGTTTATAATTATCTAGTAACTTTTGGCCCGACCAATATAAATCGCATTCATTATAATCTCGTTTATTATTATCATAGATATCTTAATGTCATTCACTTTAAAAAATTGTTTTTGACGTTAATTGATAACAATATTAACGAGATATTATGTACTTTTAGACATATCACATTAAAAATGGAATTACTAATCAAGGTTTCACTTTGGATGATATCACAGAATATAATGGCAATCGAAATGATTCTAATTCGATTTCTAAAGAGACCGTAAGTCTTTTGTTTTTTTTTCATTTTTTCTTTTTTTTCATGTTAAAAAATGAAAATAGAATTTTTTTTTAATAACATGTCGTTTAATTAGACGGAAAGAACACAATGGGGAAACGATAAAGAATTTTTGATGTCCTGTATAGCCATGTCGGTTGGATTAGGAAATATTTGGAGATTTCCGTTCACCGCTTACAAAAATGGTGGCGGTGCGTTTCTTATACCTTATATAATAATTCTCATTGTTGTTGGAAAGCCATTTTATTTATTGGAAATGACTTTGGGTCAATTTTCAAGTCGATCTGCTATCAAAATTTGGGAGATAGCGCCTGCCTTAAAAGGTTAATGTCATACATTTTAATTGAATTTTTAATTGAATTCTTTAAGATCGATCAATTCGACATTTTGACGCTGTATTTTCTTTTCTTTTTTTTTTCTTTTTATCACAGGTATTGGTATTGCCCAATTTCTTACATTGTTGGCATTAACATCATACTATTGTTCCTTGATGGCATTGACCCTGTTCTATCTGATCGCCAGTTTTCAATCAGAATTACCTTGGGGTAAATGTAAAAAGGAATGGGGCGAATATTGTGTGAATTCATCGAAAGGAAACGATACTGAGGTTACATCCAATGGTATGAGCCTATCCAACGTCACTTATCTCAGTTCGGCCGAATTATATTTTTAGTGAGTATTTAATTACGTAATATACATACCTGACGATTTCTAAATCTGATGATCTGTAAAAATGTCTATGGCTAGCAAGGAGGTATTACGTGAAAAGGAGAATATTGATGATGGAATTGGATTACCCGATTGGCGTTTAACAATTTGTCTGTTCATCAGTTGGCTTTGTATATTCGTTATCGTCGTTCGTGGAGTTAAAAGTTCTGGCAAGGCTGCTTATTTCACAGCTATATTCCCTTATGTTGTTATGCTCATACTGTTCATCAGAGCTGTTACATTGAATGGCTCGGCCAATGGTATACTTTACTTTATTACTCCCGATTGGAATAAATTATGGACGTCCAGTATATGGTACAATGCAGTGGCACAATGTTTCTTTTCATTGACCGTCTGTTTTGGCGCTGTTGTCATGTTTGCATCTCACAATAAGATTGATCATAACATTTATAGGTCAGTATCGTTTAACATCAATTTTTTGATAAGAGTAATTCTATTGTGCTTCGAGAATGAATAATATTGGTATACTGATTGATCGATTAAACTCTTTTTTTCTTTTTTATTAACCGTTACTTTAAGGGGTGGTATGATTGTTCGTAAAATGATTGTTAATGATTAATTTATAAATTATTAAAGGATTCCGTGATGAAATATTTGACAATCAGATAAATTATTTTCTGACATTTATTCAATATAAAATTAATTATTTTTAGAGATGCAATGATAGTGACAACACTAGATACCTTTACCAGTTTTTTAGCAGGCTGTACGATATTTGGTATTCTTGGTAATTTAAGCTATGAATTAGAAGCTAAAAATATTGGTACAGTAGTACGCGGTGGAACAGGATTGGCATTCATTTCTTATCCAGAAACAATCGTCAAGTTCGATTTTCTACCACAATTCTTCGCTGTTGTCTTCTTCGTAATGATTTTTGTTCTTGGAATTGGCAGCCAAGTTGGACTTACCTCAAGCATAATATCGATCATCAATGATCAATTTCCAAGATGGAAACAGTGGCATATTGCGATTGGAACATGCTTCCTAGAGTTTCTTATTGGATTACTTTACGTTACTCCGGTAATATTATGAAAAAAAAGAATCTTTCATTTTTTTATTGATTTTTTTATAAGTTTTTTTTTCTGACAATATTGTAAATAAAAAGATTTTCAATTTGAAAGATTCTTCGATTCTGTTAATTTTTAATTTTTGTTTGCTTTTCTGTTTTATTTTTTCTTTCTTTTTTGTTTTTTCAATTAGGGTGGACAATACATGGTAACCTTCATAGATTATTATGCCACATCGTTTCTTGCATTCATACCAGCCATTTTTGAAATGATCGCTGTATCTTGGTGTTACGGTAAATGTTTTATAATAAATAATTAAATTATTGCATTTTCGTTTAAATGATAAAATGAATTGTGTTATGAAAAACTTTTTATAGGAATAAATAATTTCCTCGACGACATTGAATTTATGCTAAATCGAAGATTGTCGATTTTTTGGAAAGTCTGTTGGAGTTTTTTAACTCCTGCGATAATTACAGTGATTTTTATTTATAATATGATTAATTTGGAATTATTAACTTACAACAATTTTAATTATCCTGACATAGCTTATGGTAAATATTTAATATATATATATTAATTTTTTTTTATTATTTAGCTGGTTGTTTTTTTATGTTATTAGTTAATTATTAATATTATTTAATATAACTTTATTTTTTTAGTTGTTGGCTGGATTCTTTTTTCTATTGCTGTTTTGCAAATACCTTTATGGATATTAATCGCCATATTTAAAAAGAGACATTTACCTTTTCTTGAGGTAGAACACGATGAAGTATATTTAAATTATTTTATGAAATATGTATAATTTTTATTATATATATATTTTTCTTTTTTTTTTTTTAAAGATGATTTCCCAACCATTTAGACCTTCAAAATATTGGTGTCCAATGAATGAAGAGACGAGAAGAAGATGGTTAGAATTTAAAGAACATCGGCGAAAATTGAAAGAAGAGGAAAGCGACAATGAGAACGAAACCATCTTTTATAAATTATTCAAATCTATTACATGTCGGTAGTATTGAAATGAAATGAAAATTTTTTTTGGTTTCTTTTTTTTTTCTCTCTTGTTAATTATTATATCATGAAATTTCATCTTCTTATTTATCGATTAGAATTTAATTCATCGATTTTAATAAGTGTGATAATAATTTTTTTCTTGATTTTAGTGTTATTAATAGAAAGAAAAAACGACATTAATTTATGATTAATTTTACATATGTATGAAATATGTATTTTTATTTGGCTTCGAATATTAGATTTGTACATTAATTCTAACAATATAAAATAGAATATTTATACTAGGAATAGAATATTAGATTATGTTATTAATTCTAACGATATAAAATAAAATAAAGAATTAAATAAATAGCTTCTACGTTATCGATTTACGATTAGACAATGTTTAGAATGATATAAATTTTTTAAAAAATGTAAGTAACAGAAATTAGATATATAATATATAATATAATTAAAATGCTTTAAGAATATAAAACAGAACAAATAAGAACAAGTAAAACACAATAAAATCGTTTATTTAATTATATTTTATCAATTAACAATTCATAATTTCACCAATTTAATAATTAAAATACAATGAAATACAAATGAAAAACAAATTGGAATCAATATAATCGTTATAAACAAAAATAAACATTTCAAAGTTGAAAAACGAATTTCTATTTTTTCTTTTTTTTTTTAAGTATAATTAACAATTTATTTTTTCTTTTAATAATTTTTTAAGTATTTTTTTTATCATCATAGAATATTTAATCGAAAATGAAAAAGTGTATGAGAAAAGCCTGCTGGTGAGATAAGCAATCATCTCTAATCTCACACATATATATATAGATATATATAATATATACATCAACCTCAATAAAAAAAGTATGTACATTAGATACACACAATCTACTATATAGCCTTTTGGAAGATTTATCGATCATAAGGAAATGACATCGATTGAACATATTGATAAAGTCATAAAGTTATCTGGGTTTTATATACTTTAGGATCTTCGAGACTTAAACATCTATTTAATAGCTTTTTTGTTTTCTTCTTTCCTTTTTTCTTTGCTAAAAATATTTATACTGATAGATACTTAATATCTCTTTATCTTTATAGTTATAGATAATATTTCGTATATTATATAAAAGCATTTTGATATCGATATTTCTTCCCGATATTTGGAAAGATATCGTAATATCTTCCCAATAGTTTCTTATTCGTGTGCAGACAACAACCGTATTAGAACGTTTCAATTAGAAAAAATCAAATTCGTTAAGGTTTTTTCTGTCAGTTTTTGAAATGTTGAAAAATACGGTGAGTTATGACGGATTTTAAAATGGTTTTAAGATTTATAAAGTTATTTATAAAAGAGAAAATAAACTTTTAGCTTAATAAATAAAAGTTGAATGTTTTTCGTTTTAATCTCATGTTGTAAGTCATCGAATAATGACGTCATCGTTTGAAATCTTTTTTTAAAACGAACATATATGGTATGTTCGCATTTAAAGAGAGACTTATATAGCAATAAATTTTACGACCGTCGATAAACAGTGTTCAACGATGAGATTTAATTGCCGGAAAGTTATTCGTGATATTATCGTTAACGTGTTCCACGTACTCCATAATTGTTGAGTCAACGAAATAATATAATCAGAGAAAGAGAAATGGGGAGAAAGGGAGGGAGAGAGAGAGAGAGAGTGTGTGTGAGAGAGAGAGAGAGAGAAAGAAAGAATGAGAGTGGAAAAATTTTACTTAAAAAGTAAATTATAAATAATTACATTAAATAATTATAAATTATAAATAACAATATAATAATTATATTGCGCAATGAGTGAATAAATTTCGATAATTTAAAAATAAACAACAAAAATAATTCTATTCTTTTTGTCATCGTTATCTTTGTAATCATTTTTCTTTTCAGGAAAATGGAAACCACGAAGCGAGCTATGACAACCCATCGTTTGAAATTACTAATGAAAGAAACATTCGAAAATTTAGTAATGATCAAAACAAATCTCGAGAATTAGAGGATTTAGAACAAACGCAAGAGAAGGAAACTCAAGGATCTTGGAACAATAGTATTGAATTTTTAATGTCTTGCATTGCTATGTCGGTCGGTTTTGGTAATATCTGGAGATTTCCATTTACTGCTTATAAAAATGGTGGTGGTGCATTTTTAATACCATATGTAATTCTGCTCTTTCTTGTTGGTAAACCATTTTATTTTTTGGAAATGATAATGGGACAATTTTCTGGACGTTCCTCGATTCGTGTTTGGAATGTTTCACCTGCTTTTGTTGGTATCTAATCATTATTTATTTTTTTCTTTTTTTTAATAAATTTCATAATTTTATAATTTATAAAGATATATTATCACATTATTTATATATTGTAAAACATATATATATATATATATATATATATATATATATATATATATACATTCATACTAAATAATATTTTGGTACTATAGTATTATAGTATCAATAATTGTATATATTTAAATATTACAATATAAAATAATATAATTTATTAGAAATAAGAATAATATTATTTAATATTAAATAATAATTAATAAAAATTATTAATAATATATTGTGTTTTAAGGCGTTGGCTGGGCTCAGTTCTCTTCAACGATCGTTTTAGCGACTTATTATAGTTCGTTAATGGCATTAACTCTTTACTATTTGATCGCATCATTTTCCATTGAATTACCTTGGGCAAAATGTCTTGAAGAATGGGGAGCATATTGTATCGATTCGTCCAAGAAAAAAAAATATAGTATGATGATCAATGATACATCATTTTCAAAGAAATATTACTACTTCAATAAACTCAACCATACTGTGGATAATCCGATTTACCGAAGCTCTGCTGAACTTTACTTTTTGTAAGTACTTTTTTTTTTCGTATATTCTAATTAAAGTATATAGAAAAAATATTTTTAGCAATTATTTAATAATTATTTTAACAAAAAATTATAATAACTAATTTTATTAAAAAAATAAACAAAAAATATAAAAAATCATTATTAATATTAGAAACACAGTATTACACGAAAAAGACAACATCGACGATGGAATTGGTTTACCAAATTGGAAGTTAACACTTTGTCTGTTTGGGTGTTGGGCTTCAGTTTGCATAGTCATTTTCCAAGGTGCCAAAAGTACAGGGAAGGCATCTTATTTTCTAGCGATTTTTCCTTATATTATTCTAATAGCGTTGCTAATACGTGCTGTAACATTGAATGGTGCTGCCAATGGTATATTATTTTTTATTACCCCGCAATGGGATATGCTGTTAAAACCTAAGGTTTGGTACGCTGCAGTTACCCAATGTTTCTTTTCTTTATCCGTATGTTTTGGTGCTATCGTCACTTATTCGACAAACAATGAATTTAAACATAACATTTATAGGTACGTTGTAATTTGTATAATCTTTTTTATAATCGGGTATGCTTTAATAATTCAATAATATTGTAATTTTCAACATAAATATATCGAATAAATTACTGAAACATTGATTCATTGGCTTATTGCCAATAAAAACTTTTGAGAGGAAAAAATATTATTAGAAAAATTATTTAAAAAATGTCGATATCACTCGTTGACTAATACCGAAATACAATTCTTTTTTATAACAATTAAACATCTTTGTTATAAAACATTTTTTTCCCGCAAGAACAGAGATGCAATGATCATTACGACATTAGACACTATCACCAGCATGATCGCAGGCTGTGCAATCTTTGGAATTCTCGGCAACCTTGCCTACGAAATGGATATTAAGGATATAGGCACAGTGGTAAAAGATGGCACTGGTCTGGCGTTTATTTCCTATCCCGATGCAATAGCTAAATTTGAAGTTTTACCTCAGGTAAATTTTTTGAAGTTTTAGTTTTAATTTACGTTAGTAACGTAAAGACAAATAAAAGGACCTCAATATTTATCTATAACAATTTTTTTTTTTGTAAATCCAGTAAAAAAAAAAAGAAAAAAAAAATCAATATTCAATGTCGTCGTTGCAGTTATTTTCCGTTCTCTTCTTTGTCATGATGTTTGTTCTTGGAATTGGTAGTTCTGTGGGTATGACATCGAGTCTTTACGTAATCCTGAATGAACAATTTCCGAATCTGAAAACTTGGCAAATTGTTTTGCCATTGTGTTCTCTTGGATTTTTAATTGGAATAATATACGTCACGCCGGTAAAAATAATTTCTCTTAATCTTATCTAAAGATCACGAACAATTTTTTTTCTTTTAATGATTTTGTCTATCTTCAGGGCGGACAATGGGTTCTTGTTTTAGTTGATTATTATGGTACTTCCTTTGTTGTGTTCATTTTAGCTACGTTTGAGATGATTGGTATCATTCATGTATATGGTGAGTCTAAAGACAACTTTGTATTTAGATAATTTTAATATTATTTAGTTATGTATATATATGTACAAATTTATTTTTATTTATATCGTAAATATATAATTATATATATTATATATATAAGAATTGAAATAATGTAACAAATAATTAAATGTTTTAATATAATTTTTAATTAAATAAAATGTTTTAATAAAATTTTTAATTATACTTAATTATTTAATTAAATATACACACAGGATTCGAAAATTTCATTGATGACATAGAATTCATGTTAGACATGAAAGCAAGTATGTTCTGGAAAATTTGTTGGTTCATAATAACGCCCGTTACATTGATCATCATTTTCTTCTATACCGTCGCGAATCTCTCGCCTTTGGTTTATGCTGGCAAAACTTTTCCAACAGCCGCTCATGCGGCTGGTATAATAATACTTTGTATTGGTGTACTACAAATACCAATTTGGATGCTGTTGACTATATTAAAGAACAGGAATTTGCCATTAAAAGAGGTATACTATTAATTGTTTTTGATCTGAAAAAAATTCTTTTATGGATTTTTATGATGATATAATTTTGAAAGACGATAAATAATTAAAAATAGATGAAATCTATGATAAAGATGCGATAAGATTAATTTGAACACTTACTAATTTTCATATCAGGAACGAATTTATATATATATATATATATATATATATATATATATATATATATATATATATATATAACATATATATATACACACACACACACATATACATCGTATTTTTGAAGTTTTATTCCATTTTCAATTATGTTACTTCGTATTAAAAATTTTTAATATATATTAATAAGTATGTATATTAACTTAAATATACTACTTATAATTATATTTACAATTGATATATATAGTAAAATTGTACTATGAGTAACATCTTAATATATATCACATTTTTATTTTTTTAATTATAAATCGCGAACTAAAAATTTAATTTTTTTTTTATCTATTTATTTAATACAATACATATAGTAGTATGATATAATAGTATTTAATATAATTATATTGTATTATATACAACATTATAATTAATAATATTACGTTGTAATAAATCATAATTATATAGTATATCCAAAATGTTATATAATATTAATTATTATATTACATAATATAATATTATATGAATACTAACAATAAGTAATACTTTCACATAATACAATTTTTTTTCTAAACATAAAGAAGATTTACTAATATTTATATACATTTACAATTTAAGTAAACTATATTACTTTTTTTTTTACAGATGATTACAAGAGCTTTCCAACCAACGTCCCAATGGGGACCGAAAGAAATGAATTATCGAAGAGAATGGTTAATGTTTAAAGAAAAAAAAATGGAGATTAGAAATAGGAGAAAACAATCAAAATTGTTGCAAATAATTCGAATTGTTTTCAGTTTAGAAGTAAGATAGACACTTCTTTGTTAAAAAAGAAAAAAATTAACATAAAAAATTGTATATATATTCAAGAATAACTCAAGAACGATATAATAATTAATATATATATAAATCTCGATATTTTATATAATAAATAAATTGCTATCGCAAAAATTATAATAGTTATAATCAACAAAGTTAATGAACAATTAAAATCATTTATTATGAAGAAAAAAAACCATTTCTCCGCAATCAAATATTGTCAGTTGTATTTTTGATTTAAATAAAAACTTTATATTGAACATACAAATAATAATAATTGTTCTTTTCTTCTTGTTCTTTTTTCTTTTCTTTCCTTTTTCTTTTTCATTGTCTACCAAACAAAAATCGAATTAATTTCGATCGTCCAATATTAGAATTTCTTTTCAATTCTTTGAAATCTTTCCATTCTTTATATTTTTTCTTATTTTTTGGTCCCCAATTATCTTCCGACATAAATGCCTGCAAAATTACCGTATTATATCACCGCATTAGAAATATATTAAAAATTTTAACAATGATACATAAATATTATAGAAAAAAAATTTACTTACAACAGACAGTGATGTATTTTTATTGTTTATAATTGCAATAATCATCCATATAGGAAGTTGTGCTGAACCAAAAATCAGAAGTATCCAACCAGCAGCTAAAAATTAAAAAAAAGAAAAACCCGCTTCACAAAAAAGAAAGAAACAAAACAAAGTACAATATCATAATGTTAATGTTTTTTTTTCAAATTTAAAAAATTGTAACGAAAGAGATAAATAAATGTACCGTACGCAGCATCAGGATAATACTCATCGTTATAGATCAACGGTGTCATACTAATTAGAAAATATATTAGAATAACAAGCAAAGATATCGGCGTCAAAATACCCCAACAAAGTCTCCAATAAAAGGATGGTCTGGTACCGCACATAAATTCGATGTCGTCAATGAAATTATCGATACCTGAAAGAATGTAAAATGAAAGAAAACAATGAACACTCCCCAATTAAAAATAATTGGATTCATATCACTAAAAGATAACAGTATCCCTAAGGCACGATATACAATAATTATATAATATAATTATACCGTATATCCACGATATCGCAATTACTTCGAACGATGCAAGTATGACTATAATAAACGTTCCGCAAAAATAATCAATTAAGTTGAGGATATATTGTCCACCCTGCAGAGAAAAATAAATATGATAGATACTGAGGATGGGCCAAAAATGTGTTCAACTAAGTGAATCAAAAGTAAAAGTTCTTAGATATAATTAAAAATTAATTATCGATCCTTTTTCATTACTTGTCAAGCTGATTTTTTCTTCAGATAAATATAATTCTAATTGATTTTTAATATCACTTAGGAACTTTTTTTCGATCCAACCGTTATATTAATAAAATAAAAATAAATTAAATAATATATGCCACTTACTGGAGTACAATAAATGATGCTAACCAGAAAGCTAATGAAACAGAAGCAAGCAGATATCTTCCATTGACTGATATGAGGAAATTGATCCTTAATAATACTGATGATGACATTACTAAAGGCAACTATCGTACCGATGCCTAAGACAAAGAGCATTAGAAAGAAAAGAACAGAGAAAAGTTGTTGAGCGGTCGTGAACTTGGCTAATGCTTCAGGATATGAAATAAATGCCAAACCAGTTCCAGCTCTTACTACGTTACTGATATCATCGCTACCAATTTCGTAAGCTAGATTGCCTAATATACCAAATATTGTGGTACCAGCCATTAAACTGGTACAGAGATCCATTGTGGTCACTATCATGCAATCTCTGTTGATAAAATAAATAATATATTAAAAATATTGCAATGATTTAAACTATCGTGTATCGAATGATCTATACTCATGGATCAATTTTCATGATGTAATTGAAAACAGGTATCGCAATGTTATTTTTCTGGTTTTGTATATTAATTTTATTGATATATCTTTAAGATATATATATATATATATATATATATATATATATATAATTATTATTATCAATAAAATCTATATGCAATATATTATACTATAATTTTAAATAAATATTATATCATATAATAATTACATAATAATAATATAGATCGATGAATTGATAAATGAATAGATAAATAGAATCGATATGTACAACATTTATATTTATGTATCAATACATACAGGTATATGTAAGTACATAGGCATAAACACGTATATATATAAAGTCCATTGTTATATGTAACATAAATTTCCGAAAGTATATTATTCAATGCACAATAGTTTACGTAATCTTAGAAAAATATAGATCGAATCGTTAGATGTATGAGTCAAAACTGATTATAGTAATTTCACCTACCTCGATACGTTATGATCAAAGTTATTATAAGACGAATACATGGTGACGGCACCGAAACAAACGCCAAGAGAAAAAAATGATTGTGTAACAGCTGCATACCAGACCGATGGATCAAAGATTTTATTCCATGTTGGTTCGAATAAAAAGATTATACCGTTAACGGCACCATTCAAAGTTACACCTCTTATCAACAGGCAAATCATAATGATGTAAGGAAACAAAGCTAAAAAATAAGAGACCTTTCCACTACTTTTTACACCTTTCGATATTACACCAAAAATAAATAACCAGCTTGCTAATAATGACAATACTAATTTCCAAGATGGTGTTCCTAGTCCGTTGTCTATATTGGTTTCGTTTAGAACTACTTTCCTGAACAAAAATAAATATATTAATGTTTATGTATCAATTTTTGTTATAATAATTAAGATTTTATATATGCCATACATTCTATTACAAATTAAATCAAATAAAAGAACCTAAAGTATAACTCAGCCGAGCTACTTTTATTGCTATTGTTCGTCTGATTCGTCGTCAATGTAGTATCTAAACAAATGTCACCCCAATCGTCCCAACAATAAGACCATGGAAGTACAGATTGAAAACTTGCTATCAAGTAATACATTATCAACGCCATAAGAGCTGAATAATATGTGATTACTCCAAATACTGAAACAGTAACGCCATAGCCAATACCTACAATACATTAATAGTATATTAAAAAAAAATAAATAAATAAATAAATCGCAAGGCTAATTAATTAACTAATTCGATTTTAGAAATTTTATATCACATATTATATTATTTGATTATATTACTATGTCATAATAACCTTTGAAAGCTGGTGATAACGACCAAATATCGATACAAGAACGACTACTAAATTGTCCCAAAATCATTTCCATGTAATAAAGTGGTTTTCCTATTATGAAAAGAACTATTATATAGGGTATTAAGAAGGCTCCACCGCCATTTTCATATGCCGTATATGGAAATCTCCAAATATTTCCAAGGCCAACGGAAAAAGCCACACAAGACATTAAAAATTGTAATTCACTTCCCCATTGAGCTCTCTCTTTCTCTGTTTGATCAGATACCAACACGGTCATTGAAGTCTACAAAAGTGCATATGTTCATGCATTAATTAAATTTCATGCTATTAGATAATGATCTATAGATAAATATTAATATTGACAATAGACAATTGTATTTTATACGTAATTGAATAATATATGAAACAAGCCAAAAGTTTTTAGATGGGGCTCAAAGATATCGAAGATTATTGCTTTAAAAATCAATAACACCTTTTTGCGAAATTTGTTTAACTAATCCTTTTCTTTTTCCGATTGTAAAATTATAAGCCCAAAAAGTCCTTTTTTATACACATCTGATTTTTAAATATCACCTAAGAACTTTTGGCTCATCCCGTATTATATTATATTATGCCTCGACAGTAAGTATTTTGTATGTTAAATAAATAACATACATATGTCTTATATAATATATTCATTTATTTTAATTAGACGATCGCTTTCTCGGACTTACCCCAATATCGAGATTATTTCTATTATCTGATACAACAGATAGAGTGTATATACCAGATGTCCTTTCGTTATCGATGTCATTGCTCTATCAAAAATATATTTATTTATTTATTTATTTATCAATTTCTTTCCCTTCTTCTTTAATATACGCATATTTTTATAAAAAAAGTAAAAATATGTAAATTTTACAAATCATTAATAATCGGTTCTGTTATCAGTGTTTCAAAAAAATTATGCAAATTACTCTTTATGCAAATTTCATCACTTAAATTATCTAATTATAGACGATTATATAATTAACTACACTCCATATCTCTTTTTTATTTCTAAAAGATTACATTATTTTTTTTCCAATAAAAATTAAACATCAAAGAGAATAATTATTAAGAATTATTATCGTACAGTTTAGAACTATCTTATTTATCATTATTGAATTTTATTTAAAATTAGTAACGTTTTCAAGTAAAGCATCCTTTCGTAGACTTGATGTGAATTAAGCTATATAAATATTTATAATCCTATTGAAGATAATATGGATTACTATAAAAACTTGTGTACTTTCCTTTTAAAACGAAAAAAAAAAGAAAAAAGAAAAAAAAATTGATAATATTATAAAATGAAAAATAAATCAAAAAAATAATAATAATAAATTTTTTATACAAAAAAATTAAAGAAATGCAGCCAACGATCGCTATATTAGATGCAATATAGAAGTATTAAAATAAAAAATAATAATTAAAATAAAAATAAACAATTTTTATCGTAGCAACACTTTCAATAAATAATAATCTAACAAATAACTCTTGCAGTTCATTCGCGATAAAAGTTACTAAATCTAAAAAATAATTCATTAATAGCTTTTCAAATTTTAATGAGAAATTTCAAAAAGTCCAACATAAATTAGTAATAATTAATATATTGTTTGACAAACCTTAGGCTTAGAATGTCGCATATTATCTTTTTTATCGTATCAATACAGACAAGATTTTTTACATATACATACACAAACACAAACATAGATACACTATACTTTTCTCGTCTCAAGAGAAAATATAAACACGTCTTTACAGGTTGACGGAGTTAGAGAGACTGCTTGGTAAATCTATTTCAGTAGGTATATTCGCTTTCATTTTAAAAAATGACTGCTACCTCCTTTGTCTGTATTTATCAATACCTATTAGACTCATACTAAGGACGATTATAACATACACACAACATAGATGAGTGTCTCCTATACGTTTGTATATATGTATGCGTTCGTGTGTTGTGTTGTATATTGTATTTATATACGTACGTTTTTATACACATGCAATTTTTATAATGCCAATTTGGATGAAGAAATAATGTTGAATTATTATTTTTTTTTGTTTTGTTTTAATAAATTCTATTCGTTTGATAATGTTACGCGGATAAATCAACACTTCAAAATAATTCTTATCATTCAATTTTTTTTTTTAAATCGAAATCTAAACATTAAAATTATATATAAAATGACAAAATTTTTTTAATTTGCTATAAACAAAATTTGTTTACAACTTCGACAAATTTTCTTTTCTCAAACAGATAATTTTTATTCGAAAAAGTCGCCCAATCAGATTTTTAATATTTTCGTTATCTCAATTGATTTTTATAAATCAACATTTCTAAATAAAAAATTTATACAATTCCAAAAATTAAAAAAAAACTTTATTTGTTAAATCAATAATTTTCGTTCTAAAAAGTTTCTTATTTATTCGACCTATTTCTTGCTTTTTTTTTTATTAACTTTTATTTATTTATATATTTTTTTCTAAAGCACATAATATGATCAAATAATCATATCAAATGTTTCGTATTTCAAAAGCCGAGCTTATTAAATAGAATTCAATAATCCTGTTTGTGACATTTCAATATTATCTAAGATAAACTATGCAAACTCTAATTACGGAGGAAAGGATAAACGATAGTGAATTGACATAAAAATTCTTATCGAAATAAATTCTATATTTCATAAATTCTGTTTTAAAGATCAATTTAAATGTTTCAAACGTCGTTTTTCTTAATAATTTTCTCCATCCAATTATCTTATACATGAGATAATACAAATATATTTCTCATTACAACTATTAATTACTTGATAAATATCTAATAATAAAAATTTAATAAATTAATATAGAATATTAAAAAAATAAATAAATAAATAAAATAAAGAAAAATTTATTCAAATGTTTCTTACTTTTTTATATTCCGATAGTTGAACATTTTAGAATTTATTTATAAAAGTTTTATAAGAAATTAATAATTTGATAATTATTGAAAATTGTTTTCGAATTTTTTAATTATCGAAAATGTTAGAATTTATTTATGAAAATTTTCGAAAAACTTTATGATTTAATAATTATTGAAAATTTTAATATTATTTTAATGAAAATTTTCAAAAAAAAATTTTAATTAAACAATTGCAAAAACAAATTGCAAAATTTATTTATGAAAATGTAAGAACAAATGATTAATCTTATATAATAACTATTAATAAGAAATCACTTCTATAGTCACTTGTAGAATCACATGTACAAACATTTTTCTTTTGTATTTGTATTGACAATTTAAATGGATAATCATCTTATTTTTTAAAATAATATATAAAACTCAATATGAGCGACTTTTGTAACGCATCATCTGATTATTTACATCTTATATCATGTACGTATACATATCTTAATCTAATTCATATATGTATTATTTAAAGTATTTTCCAATTAGACCTCTGGAAGGTAGAAATTTTTTTTCAAAAATGAAATTTTTCCACTTTATTCTCGTCGCAGGATCATTAGGTCCCCACTTTTTTTCTGAAGGTCTTAAAGCCGCTTTTATTGTCTAAGATAATTAGAATATATTAGAAATTTTCATTAATTTTATCTATCTATTAATTTTTTTTCATACTTACATCGTTGATTGACGTTGACATATTTTGAATTAATACGTAAATAAACCATGCTATTATTAAACCGATACCAATGAATACTAGGAACCATCCGATACCTAAAATAATTTATTTAAATTAATTCATTATATTTAATTGGGATATTTCCATTAAATAATTATACTTGTACGAACCATAAGCATAATTTGGAAAATTCATGCCATCGTAAGTTGGTGGTCGATAAGAAACGATCGTGTAAATTAATATAACTATCATTAATACTGGAGTAATAACTGACCAACACATTCGCCAATAAAAAGTTGGTTTTGTTCCTAACATAAACTCAATATCATTTAAAAAATTTGATAAACCATAGATCCAAAAGATCGTGATCATTTCAAGTACACCAATGATAATAGCAACGAATGTTCCACCATAATAATCGACCAAAGTAACGAGCCACTGTCCGCCCTAAATAAACAAATATTAATAATTTAATTATATATTATATAATATACATATACATATTATATAAAAATAAATTTAAATACCGGAGTGATGTAAACAAGGCCAATAAAATAGCCAATGATACTGATAATTAAAACCAAGATCCATTGGCGTACTTTTGGGAAATGATCGCTAAGTATACAAAATATGGCGCCGCATAGAGCAACAGCACTTCCAGTACCAAGGACAAACATCATAATGAAAAAAAAGATTGCGAAAATTTGTGGTACAACGTCGAATCTAGCTAAGGCTTCTGGGTAAGAGATAAATGCCAGACCAGTTCCACCTCTTACTACTTTGGATATATCACTACTACCCATTTCGTGCGCTAAGTTCCCAAGAATACCAAAAATTGTACAGCCAGCGATTAGACTGGTAAATGTGTCTAATGTAGTTACTATCATCACATCCCTTTCATAATAAAAATTCAGTTATATAACTCATGATATTCAGTTATATAAATATAGGATGTCTCTGTTGTGAAATATCTTTGAGATAATAAAACTTATATTGTAATGTATAAATACCTGTTAACACTATGACCAAAAGTATTGTACGAGGAATAAGTCAATATTGGTCCAAAGCAAACGGATAAGGAAAAGAAACATTGAGTTATAGCTGAATACCAAACATTTGGATTCCACAACATATCCCATTTTGGTGTAACGAAAAATAAAATTCCATCTAGAGCACCTTCAAGAGTTACTGACCTTACCAATAATACTATCATCACTATGTAAGGAAAAATTGCTAAAAAGTATACAGCTTTTCCTGTACTCTTAACGCCACGACAAAGAACACCGAATATACAAAGCCAACTGACGAATAAACAAATCGCAAGTTCCCATGATGGTGTCCCGATACCATTTTCTATAGTATCGTATTCTTTTAGAACGATTTTTCTAAAAATTAAAAAAAGAAGATTAAAGAAATAGAATATATAGTTTAACGTTGAAAGAAAAATTTACTTGTTAAATAGATAATTAAATTTTTCGATTAAATTAGATCAAATATATGCTTATTCACCTGAAATATAATTCCGCTGAACTTTGAACTATAGTGGTTTCATTGATCGACGTACCATTAGAAATCGCATCGAAACATTGTCCTTGCCATTCTTCACGGCATAACGACCAAGGTAGTACCGATTGGAAACTTGCTACCAAGTAATAGATAGTCAAGGCCATCAAGCTAGAATAATACGACACTACGGCGAATGCCGCGAAAGCTTGTCCATATCCTAATCCTAAAAGTGATATCGATTTTATATTGTATCGATATTTCTATATGAAATTGAATATCATGATTTAGAATATACAATAATTAATTATTATTTATTAAAATTAAACGTTCATTATTATGAACGAGAATATATTGATTAAGATTAGGAATTGAAAAAAACCAAAAATCATGATTTTGGATTAATTATTATTAATTAATATAAATATTTTATCGGCTATATAATATAAGATTGAAGATCACGATTATGAATTAAATATGATTAAATTAAATTGAATATTTAATCGTATTTGACTTTTTGATTAATTATTATCAATTATAATTAATATTTTAACCAAGCTGAAAATAAGAATAAGAAAAAATTAAGATCTTTTTCAGAATTAACAAGAACCTTTCATGGCTGGTACCATTTCCCATGTCTTCGCACAAGATTTGTTTGTAAACTGACCCAACAATCCTTCCAAATAATAAAATGGTTTACCAATAAAAAATAGAACAATAATATAAGGTATCAAAAATGCACCGCCACCGTTTTCATATGCAGTGAATGGAAATCTCCAAACATTTCCAAGGCCGACCGACGTGGCTATGCAAGCCATTAAAAAATCTAATCCACCACCCCATGCTTCTCTTTGGATTTCGATCTAAAAAAAATATATAATGCATTGTTAATATAATAAAATAAGATGAAAAGAAAAGTAAGTATTAAAAACAATCGATGATATTTAAAAAAGAAGCGTTTTTTAAAATAAATAATAATTAATAATAATAATAATAATAATAATAATAATAATAATAATAACAATAATAATAATAATAATACTGTTTCTCAATTTTTTATCTTTATATAAGATTGCTTTTTTTTGTCAAAAAAATTTCTATAAATGTAACATACATTTACCGTATTAGGAATATCAATGGTATATTTTTCGAGATCAGAACGATCATTAATTTTCTGATTAGTACTACCACTTTTTCTATCCTTCAATTCAATATTTTCCAATTGAAAAGCTTCATTAACAAAACCGCTTGTACTCTAGAAAAAGAAAAGGAAATATTCTAACATTATAGAAAAAAGAAAATAATTTCGAATTCCATAAAAGTACAATAAGGTGTGTAAACTTACGTGTTTCTCCTCGTCCGACACTAATTTTCCCATTTCGATAAATATATATTTTAATTTATCTTAATACTACAAATATATATATATATATTTCTTTTTTCTCAAATCTCATTGTTTCAAATTAGATAAAAATTAATTTTCTAACAATTTCGATTCACTGATACACATCATTCTTTTTTTTTTAATTTTTGTTTTGTTTTGCTTTAATACATACGAAAGCCCGCAATTGATATGTACTTTAACACGCTTCAAAACGGTTTGAAATGAAAATATTAAATTTTAACTGTTTTAATCTCCCCTCCCCCTCTCTCCTCCTCTCTCTCCCTCCCTCACCCTTCCTCTCCTTCCCCCCACTCTCTCTCTCTCTCTCTCTTTCTCTCTCTTTCTTTCTCTCTCTCTCTCTCTCTTTCTCTCTCTCTCTTTCTCTCTCTCTCTCTCTCTTTCTTATTTCCTCCTGAGTTTATAACAGTGATAGTTATTGCAGTATACAGAATAGATTATATACTACAACCTCTTAGAATATTCAACCTCGTTTTTCATACTTCGCACA